AGATTCTCCTGACGAGAATTTTCGCCGCAGTTGGTACCGTATAACAATCTTGCAGTTGCAGCAATATCCGCACACTTGACGGGAGAAGTACCAACCTTATGAAGAAATTCTATAAAACGGGGTTTTCCGTTTTAAATCGCGGACGATTGTTTCCTCACTGCTGTGTGTATCTGGAATGTAAACTCAGGTTTCCGCTTGAGCGAAGTACGGCATTTAGTTACAGTACAAGCAAGATTGGATGACAGACGGGAGGGAGCACGATGAGGTGAGGAACGTGGAAGAAGTCACCTTTACATCGAACAACGCAAAAACATGTTACGCAGGGATGAACATAGAAAAAATATAGCTTTACTGTAAATGAACTGGGTTCATCTTCAACTCCTGGAAAACAGATTTTCCATCTGCTTTGCAAACTACTAACCTAAAAATGAAAATTATCATCCCATCTCGCTCGGGAACAAACGCGACGATTCATGGAAAAATACCATCGCACACTCGGGTACACCGTCGGATTGAAACTAAAAAAGAAGCCAATACCACGCCCTTCGTACTTTCTCTCCCATCAGGCCCTGACCGGAACATCCGGCGCCTGATAAAATTCCAAAATGCACACGCGAACAATCTCCGGCATCACTCATACACTGAAAATTTCCGCTTAAAAACCCACGACACGCAAAGCGCAGAGGAATAAAAAGCGAACATCAGCTCCGAAGAACTGGCGTGTTTCCATCACCTCTTCTTCGCGTCCTCGGATTGACGTCAAGGAACGTTAAACCCCCTAAACCTTCCGATACAATTTCGTTTTCTTTCGTACCGAAAAAACACACCTCAGAAAATTTGAATAATGCAGATCGTCAAGTTCCGACACGTTTACAGCTTTGCTTGGCGACGAGGCCACTCCTTCGAATCCTGGACGAGTTGTTGGATCAAGCGTTCTTATCTGATGGCGACTCTGGGACTCCACCATCAAGCGGACTCGAGATAATAATTAACCGCAGTATCTTTCTCACGGATCTCAGAACAGACGGTCATTTGCTTCAGATTGGAAAGCGTATAATATACTTGCCGGAGCATCTCAGCTGATGCTTCGCTTAACAAAATTCACCACCAACCAAACCGAGTAGAGGTTAACCCGACTGGGCATAAGTAGAAAAAATCTTCCGAACAGATCCCATGGACCACACGTTTTGTAATTCATGGGGAGGATAATTCAGCGAAGTCAGATCTCCCCCAAACGATAAAATTTCCGAAGGGGAAATTGAAATTTCTCAAAAAACTCCATCTTTTTGAGGAAAGCATTGTTCATGCTCCGAACCTGAAATCCTTGCAAGTGAAATGAACGGTAAACTTGCTGATGGGAAAATGCACAATTCAAGGGATTCTAGGCAACGTTCCGGAATGTCGAACTCGTACACTCGGAACATTTCCAGAGTGGAACATTACGTCGATGCGAAAACACGTATACGTCTTCATTGGGTGACGGCAGAAAAGCATAAAACGAGAAAATACACCAGAAAAATGCACCCAGGGACAAATGTTCTACCGGACCTAATTATCTTCCCTTTCGAACGTTTTTTTTTTTTTACATTTTAATATTCATTTGCTCCCTCAAGGTTTTGGAAGTACACGCTCAGTACGTCGTAACAAACATCTTCAACAACAGTAATGCTCTGTATATGCAAGTCCTTACACAACCTATAAAAAGTAGAAAAGCAGATTCATTATACAGATAATTCTCGAAATGAGGGGTATGTCGCACTCTAATTTACTCTCAGAATCATACATACCCGGAAAATAAACAAAGATGTTTTCCAGTATGCTGTAGTTTTTCCGACTGGACGCTCTTCTCCCGACACTATCAGTAAATCAACTTAATTCCAGGAACTAGTTCTTGTATGTTTGGGCTTTCCCAGACCTACCCAAACGTCTCCATGACATGTTTCATTCCCGACCCAGTCGAATGGCCTCACGACATCGTTGATCTCGATTCCGAATACAATAGCTACCGGAAGGACAATGAATGAGTCACAAGCCGCGTGCGGAGCGCAGAGTTGCTTGATGCCCCACGAATGAACTCATCCCATAGTCCGGCAGCGTTCAAGAAGAAATACATGCGCGAATCGCAACACGCACGCGTGCACGTCTAGGGCGGATGCGCGACAAAACGTACTTCGACAAAAGAACGCCCTTCGATCACGCTGGCATGTATTTTCACCTTCGTGCGTAATACATCGACACGTCGGACCCAAAACAATAGGCCTCATCCTCACCATGAACACAGTCGATCAAACAGTAAGCTGAACGTAAACTTCACCTGAAAACGGATTCACACACCTGATGCGTAAGGTAATTCATTGCGTAAATTCCAAATTGCGGCGAAACGGTAATCCTGAAGAAATAAGTTGCATGCGAATAAAAAAAATTAACGGGCGGTTCACAACACTTGATCTCGAATTGAACTGACCTTAAACAAAAACAATGAAGCCTGACCAAAAAATGAAGAAATTTACTCAATCACGAAATTTCAGGCACAAGGAAGTTCAAAATCGATGTTACCGAATAGTAAATAGAACTTTTTTTTCAAGATTCTACGTTATATTTCTTCCCACAGTTCGAACGTGTATCAATTGAAACAAGAACGACGTATCTACTGATATCGTTCAATAAAAATGCGTATTTTGTTTAAGAAATAGTGTTTACTGTACTGAGAAGACGAAAGTTACTAGCACATTTCTGTTGGAGGAACCGAATCACCTTCGAAGAAAAAAGTAGTCACGAGATGTATTATTTTTCTCCCATTTATATCATAAAATACAGTATATACACTCAATTCATTTATTATTCCTTGCAAGAGGAAACGACCCGTTATCCCGCTCCACCTTCCCATTACAGGTCCCTGCCGTCTTCCCCACAGCATTTTCTACTTACCTTTCTTCTTTCTCAAGTGTCACTGGCTCACTTCTATTAGCAGCATAATATGACTCACCTATCTTCTTCATCTAGTCTACTGTAAATACTGTACTGTAAAACGAAATTATTCCTGAGGTAATGGACGGCTCGGTTAAGGGATTTTCGAAACGATGACCTCAGATGAACGGCACAGATTTTTTCTTCGCTTGGTGGACCGTATTCTGGATAACGAACTGCACGATAAGTGATTGCCCGTGAAAAGCAGTAAAGGGTGAGATCCAATTTTTCAAGTACAGTACTGTAAATAGAACGCATATGATATTCTTGATTTTACGGAGCATTGTTTTATTTGTTTCCGAGCGTTTTCGCTGATACCTACAGTATCAGCGAATTTTAAAACAATTTTATAAATAAAGCATATTCTAAAACGCGTTTACTAATGAAGTCACTTCAATATTCCTGAAAGAACTTCCTAAGAATCTGAAACGGATTCTCCATTCTTTACATAACTTCACATAACTCGGTTGATGTTCTTTTCCAGGAACGAATTTAGTCCATTACCCGACGCACCACGTTAGTTAAGACGTTTCGTAAGGGAAACAAGATTGAAAAGTTCCCCAGGGCTCCCAAATTTTTCCTCAACATGCTTTCACGGAGGAAACGTCGAGAGAGTTCGGCAGTTGCATCCCTGGTCTGTCTCATGGTCGCGATTACGTTATTCCACAGCTAGAGAAACACGATGCAATACGGGAGTGAAGTCGGACACGGACAGACTGGAAACTCGACACGCTATTGCTTGGAAGGACGAGCCCTTCATCTTTCGCCCCCGTGTGCGGACATTTTCTCGGTTGCACGAGCTCTTCTGACGCCTCTTGCCCGTTGATCAGGGTATTATGCCGGAATAATTGATCTTTAAGCACGCATGTTTCCGGTCTCAAAGTCCATTTAAATGTTACGAAATTACAGAGAATCGAGATCCAGCCGAATTCACTCAATGATTATCCAATCGGAATTTCCGACGACGTCTTTCTGAAGTTTATTATTGCGAAATGAAGCGATGATGGGATAGACATCAACATGTACAGTATTACCAGTAAAACCTTCCATAAACGACGCGTACCTCATTTTGAATAAACAAAAATACTGCATAACTTATAAACCTTCATGCTCCGTGAAAGGTTTAAGGCATGGTAGTACGGTACAGTATTTGCTTGCCACCCACTGGCTACCCATACTACCTTTTATAAATTCGACTTATCAAGGGCATCGCGGTTCACTCCTATTTTCAAGCAATACAGCATTCACCACACATCTCCTGCATACTCCGTTCCACGTCACATTTCTATTTGTTTCCACCGCAATGTCAATTCATAACGCGACTTATGTTGCACATTTTCGAAAGCACGGCTTCACATAGCCAAAACCTCGAGAGCACTCGATCCCTCCAGTGATATTTGTATCATGTAGCAGGTTTAAAAACCCATTATCCCAAAGCACAGATCAGGAACTTCTTTCAGAATAATTTTGTTTGTTGCGAAATGAAGCGCAGCGAAAAACGACGATACATATACGAATATAAATAATATAAAAAATCACACAGATGGTCCAGTCAAGTTAGAAAGCGCATGACCTGAACATAATGTATCTTAGTGGGATCAAAACATACCGCTTAGGAAAACTGAAGCCCACAGAAACGCTCGAAACAATTGCTACCATTTCTGCGAAGCTGAAACAACTGCCGGCGGCAGAGGGAAACATCAAATTCATCTGCGGCAAGCGCATGAACAAGATAAAACGAAGGGCGACAAATTCCAAAAGTTATTTTCACAGAAAGTATCGAAGAATTCTGGTCTGTTTATCGGGAAATGTACACAGTCCAAGGCAATGAATTCAGAAAATGAAAGACGGGCGGCCAAACACCAAGAGGGAACACTATTCAAACACCATAAATCGCAAGGGAATCACTCGTTTCTCCTTCACCACCCCCCCCCCTTGAAACGCGTTAGGACAGAGACGGAGAGTTCTGTTTGCGCGTTCGCGATTCGCTTTCTTTCCACACGATGGGGGAAAAAAACGGGACGTGGACTGACCTGCAATTCGCACCAGGCGACGTCGACTCCAGTCTGAGTATCCAGGCCGCGATACACAGTTTTGAAGCTGCCGCGGCCGATCTCGTCGGCAAATTTGAGAAAGCGACCGTCGGCAGACGAGTCGACCGGACGGACTTCTTCGTCATCCTCCGGAGATTTGGGCAGATTCTTGGTCCTCGCTCCCATGCGCAGATTCGCGAGCGACACGGCAGACGACGATTCTTCTTTAGCCTCCGCCGCCTTCGGGACACCGGCGATGGTGTCACCACTCGCCCCCACGTTCTTCGGAGCCATGACAGGGATCACTGGCGCTTCGTCGATCGTCACTTGTTTCTTACGTAACTTCTTCGACCCACGGGCACCGACGCCGAGGAAGCTCGGTCCAGTTCCGAGCGTTCCGTTCGCGTTGCCCATAGCAGACTGCGCCGGCGCGGGCATAGCGCTGCCGCTTGAATCGCGCAGGATTGACCTGAGAACGGCCCGCGCTGCCGGCGGGCGGTCCGAATCGCGTTCCACGCCAGGGGCGGGCGCGCTGGCCCGCCGTGCGCGAGCCCGCTGCCCGCTCGAAGATTTGCTCGATGAGCCACCAGGTGTCGCTCGCGTGCCGCCATGCCGGCGTAAAGTGGACAAGCTGCCATTACTGCTACTGCTTGTGCTGCTGCTGCTACTGCCGCCACTCGAGCGACATATGACCGGCGAGGATGCGCTGTGCGGGAAGTCGGAGGCCACCATTCTACGCGGACCCGGACGCATGGGGGGTCCACGGGCGCCGTTTTCCGTCGGCCCTACCGTGTCCCGAACTTCGCATACCTCGGTCTCCTCTGTCTTGCTCATAGGAGCCCTCATCCATGCCAAGTCATGCTCGACTGTCCGATCTGACTTCAGGCGTGCACAGGCCAGAATGCTTCCGACCACTCACGAGCAGCAAAATTATTTAGCACACGAAAAAGAATCTACGTGAAGCAAGGATGATACGCACTGTTATCTCATTTGTCTTATACAATACGGTATTACAAATATTTGACAAATACTCGCTACGAAATGAAAACTCAAAAATATTGGACACCATTTGCTTTGTCGAATGATCTGAATTAAAAGAATATTCAGGTAAATGGAATGAAGTGATATTTTTCAATACGAAGAAAAAAAAACACTCCGAATATTACAGGGTTTCAAGAATTCCCAAACTGAACTAGTGGTGCTGCGCTGGGACACACCTTCTGATTCCAACAATCGATTACTTCCTCATGCGCGTAGCGGTGTTCGTTCGTGGCTCTAAGGGAAATTTTCTGGTTGGAAACTCCAAGGTCATCCGTTGAATATTAACAATTACTTTCCGGGCTCTTGCCAGTTCACACCTATTCAAATACAGTACGGTACAGACATACATGGGCACCACATAAGGGAGTTCAAGGTGACAGGAAAAGGCAGGATATATAATACATTACTGCACTTTACATGCGTCGCGTAAATCCATCCGATTCAAAAGTATGATGATGCCTTCAACTATTTCCGTGCAAGCATGAAATTCTTGAAAACAGACTATACGGTTATAGACCATCGAAGACCAATGCAAGAAAGCGGACTGCGTTTACTTCCTCAGGCTGAGGATATGAGCGTACATACACTCAGTGCCCTATCATTCGGAGCACGAAATGTAAGAACTTCCACAAAACCACTTCAATGCGCGCTGCCCTACGAAAATGAAGGAGCTGGACGGCAGGGCATTCGTAAACGGGAATCAACGATTGAAAAGTAGGTTAGAGTTCACGAAGAGCTCTGATGATGGAAGCGCCACTATACAGACGAGTTCGGAGCCAGCTCAAAGACAGTGGCCTTGACAAAAATTTTAAGCTTCTTTGCAACACTCTCAAGTACGCCATGCCTAAAGATATTCAGATTACCATGAGCTCAAAAATTTAATCATTCGGGGGAATGAAAAGTAGGTAGTCATAGCTCGAAGAGAACACTCATGCATCCCCAACGACGATGCCTGAGCCGCAGCTCGGGTATCAGAGTCGTTCATCATCACAGAAGAATCTGAGCTCACAAAAGACGACCGAACTTCCCAGTACAGCAAACAGAGCCACCAGACCAGACGCCACATGACTAACGACATAACACTAGAGAGTACGAATACACGAACGCACGAACGGCAAAAGAATAGCCCCTTCCGTATCCGTTAATTTGTGCGCCAGACCACTAGGACATAACCAAACGCCAGATTCTATCTCGCACGACCGCCGTGAGGACGCAACCAGTGATCGGCGCACAACTCGAACGCGAATGACTGACACGACCATGACACCCAACAACACTACTCCAAATTGAACTACCGTACCCGACAAGGCAGGATCTACCACAAGGACGCGCTCAAACTCTCACTCAAGTACTCGCGGTAAGTTTCAGCTAAAAAGGAGGCATTAATAATCAGTAGGCAAGCCTAAACCGTTGTCTAAAGTAAGATATAAGAAGATTTTGCCCTGCTCAAAGATCACATCCAGGCTACAACTGCACAAAAACTGTATGTGAGGGAATCAACCGGGATATTGGGCGCCGCCATGACACTGAGCACCCGTGACATCTAGGAGAGGCAGAATGAATCTGTGTTTGTGTAGCATTCCAATGAGGTCTGAACCAAAACTTATACAGCACACAAAGTCAGAGATAGCGCCTGCGCTACGGGCTTTATGCAAGTTATTGAGCATGTACTGGTAGTACCTGGCAATTTCACCTCCTGCAATTTGACTGTCCTGCACTTCAACCATCCTGCAATTTGATGGTTGAATTTGCTTGACAGTTGACTTGCAATTTGACCTCTTTCCCTAAATTTGACCTTTATTCTCTTTTCTGGTGTTTTTGTGCTGTTTGCCCTTGCTTTTATAGAGTGTCCTTCAATTTGACCCTAGTTTGGCAATGGATTAGGTTCAATTGCAAGGTACCACCTGTACCAACCAAATCAGTAAGCTCAGTAAGTATGCTTGATATTATGCCATCCATATACAGTATACAGTATATACAGTAGCATATATATATACTCATCAAGTCATCATGATTATCACCAACATGTTTGGTGTTCTGCTGGTGTCTTGACTCCTGAATGTTTCAATTCAACCTAAATTGGAGTGGAGCTCCTTTGGAATTGTTTTGAACAATCTAGACAGAAGTTGGTGGGGAATTATGCTGATATGAGAATGGTGGGATATTTAGTTGCATGAAATTACAATGCATGGTTTTAGATCAGAGGTTCTCAGCCTCAAGTCACATAATTATGACGTAAGAGCAGAAACACACTCAAGTATTAAAGTATGAGAGGTTCCATCACTTCCATGTGATTTAATGCAGTCCCATCCAGAACCGAGCTACAATCAACCAGCAGCTTACATTCCTGAAGGGCACCATATGCAGAACTATTCCGGGGTTGCTGGAAAGCCAGGCGGGATTAGTGGAAATACCTTTGTTCATGAAATTCCTAGATGTCAGCAGTGAAGGGACCGACAATAATACGATGTTGTTGTACGGACAGATGACGGTAGTACTTGTAGTAGACATGGCGGCGCCGTTGCTCCGATTTTCAGTACTTTATTTGCTGGCCTGGGCAGCCCTGGAAAGCCGCATTCCCCATTGATGAAAGAAGACGGATTATTTAATCATTTCCCTTCGGAAATCTGTTCGTTCTGAAGCATGTCAATAATTTAACGTCACATTGGCAGGAAGTACTCGATGGAAGCTATACTCGCGGTGTTTTTTATTGTGCTGACGGGGAATTTGCACGTGCTGGATTCGCCTCCTATTTATGGTAAACCGGAGATTTCGTAAGATATGTATAGCTTATGCTGGGGGGGGGGGGTTTGACTGTGTCGCTACAACACTTTTGCCGTGTTCGTTGGTCGTGAATTCGTGATACAAGCCGAAATGTGGTGCGTGCCCTGCGCGAATTATAAGTTATAGCCCGTCTATACGAATTTTCGCGATTCAGGATCCGCAGCTGGATCGCGTTTATAGCACAGCAGCACTGAGAAAAACGATGATGTATGCTGTAATGACGTTCCCTTCGAAGGGTAAGCCTAACTCCTCTTGCTGGAGTCTGGATGGTCAGGTAGGTGTCGCTAGATTCACCAGACTTTGACCAAGAGTGACGGCTCCATCGAACATGCAATATACAGTACTCGTACATCGTGTATATCATCATCAGTATCAGCAGTTTACCTTCTACTGAAATGGTGATTAAGCGAAAGGCGAAACCCTCCTGGCTATAGTGTGACTCAACTATAACCTGACCCATACCTATTAGTGAAATATGTTGGTGAAGTCCATATATATAAATTTGCAGAAAATCATTGCATAGGATGATACGACTGCCGTTCGTGAAACAAATAATAATAGTAAAGTATGAATGTTGTTCATTTATGCATAAGTAATTACGGTGATGGAACTCTGTTTTTTTATGTGAATAAGATTCTGTGCTTTGAGTCTGATCAAGCGCGAGTGAACCATACTCCAGGAGTCGTCAAAATGTATTGCCAGCATATATAAAAGGTATACCTTATATTTATTACTGTAGTATACATTACCTTATATTTATTAGTACATAGTATGTTGTATGTTTAATTACGGTTTCATTTTTTGGATGCATAGTATACACATGGTAATCATAATTTCGTGATGAACACTACCCAGGGAGTAATGTGGGTTTTATGAACTTACCATGCGCATTCTGCATCACTGCATGGTAAATTATTCATGGTTTTCTATAGCCCATCATCGCGTGCGTTAACTACAGTATGTAACTATATAGTCCTGAAATAATGCCTCCGTAATCTTTCAACAACCGAAAGTTTGAGTGAAACGTGAGTAAGTTTCCATTGCTTCCAATTCTTTGACTGCAAAATTATTTGTATCAGCTAAAATTCTAAATTTTTAAATAAAGCTCCAGTTTGAAGATCATAATTTTACCCTAATTACAGTAGTTTTGAAATAGAAATTGCATTTCTAGTTGCGAAACACGAAGCAGGAAAATATTAAACTCAATTTGAAAGCCTGTGGTCTACTTTTTTAAATCAGATTCAGTCGTGCAACGCGAGATTTTTCTGCGATACTGTATTTTCAAGCTTAAACCGCATAAACAACCTGATATATTATAATGTATAATAACGAAAGGTACTGTATTATATATACCTGATATACCGTATCATATTTTGGCAAAAGTTTCTGATGAGCATATGCTGCTTGATTTCTCCGAATGACTTTGGGATGCTGACCCTGAAGTCAGAATGGAACTAAAAAAAAAATCTTGCAAGGGATTGATTCTATCATTTGAATTTCCATTTGTAAAGATATTTGGTTTATAAATTGTTTAAAAATGCATGGATGTTGGGTTGATGAAAATCAAGCAGGCCGGAAGATTAAGAAACACGAACACGATTTCTTTTCAGATTTTCGAAGTTTTATTAACACGATCGAGATTCATGCACAACGTATTCCCGAAGAGCAGATAAATCAGAGAAGCACATTTAGAATTCAAACGTGATTTCATTGGCCCTGCATGTAAAAGAAAAAAAGCTCCGCCAGATCATCAAAGTGAGGACTGACGTATTTGCTTCGTCAGCTCGTCTGTGGGGTAATTCCTATGTGATTTTCAAAGATGCGTTCAATTTTAAAAACGTAAATGTCATAGGGTAGGTCGAAAGAAATTCATAAGCCAAATGGTAAATTTTGTCTCGAAACACCAACATTCTAAGTACTGTATGTTTGTATCTGGAAAGCATTTCGCGGGGGGGGGGGGGGGGTTAATTTGATTTTAAAACTAACACGGATTCTCTCTCTTTTGCACCATAGGAAGGCGTCAGTATACAAGGACAAATTTCTGAACAGCTGCTTTGTTAATTCTAGCCCAACTTCGAAGCATTTTTTTCGGAATCCTGCAAATTTTATTGTCCAGTTCCGGGTAAAGCTTTGGCACACAGCCTTTTATGATATCAGTGAAATCTGAAGCACGGAACTGTTGTGCGCTGAGGGTGTCCATCAACATCCTTGCCAAGAAGTACCAGCTCGTGAACTTCCCAAATCGTTTTTTTCCACTTTTTCCGACTTGAACCAGCATTACAGAGTGTGGGAAACAAGACTTTGAACAAAATAATTTTTGGAAATCGAACTGCGTGCAGGAGCACAATGCACGAGAAGTGAGAACGGTCCAAAAAGTAGAACAATTTTCAAAAACGCGCACAAGGTGTGCTACACTGTATGCGTTTACGATACGGAAAGACACACAACAATGCAAGAAATCGCAAATGCAAAAGCATGCATAAATGTCTCTGGGGAAAACACCATGGAATGGTGGAACAACATTAACGAACATCAAAAATACACCAAAAATACGCACTTGCACATGGGGTCCCAATTTACCGTCCCTTGCTTCCAACACTCCTCAAATTAAATCATCTATGCTCTGACCTCTCAGACACAGCTCCCAACCGTCACCCTCAGATATGCTCCTCTGTTTACCGATCAAGCTCAGCCAAAATTAATTCCAAAACATTGTCTTTGTCTTTAAAGGGTGCATGATCACGCAGGTATCTCAGCAGAAACTGTTTCAATTCTGGAATGCGTTCCCAGCCCTTTTTTTTTTCAACCGGAACCGTTCGAAACAAATTCACTCACATTGCACCCCATACATTAGTAATCGCAGGAAGCTGAAGGGTAACACGAAAACGTTGAAAATACTGAGCCAACACTTGCAGCAGAGAAGGAAGGCTTCTCACTTATCCAATAAATAAAATTTCCTTTCATCCTTGAGGATTGTGCTTCAGGATTCGAGTCCTGTCCGTGGATCGGTTATAAGCATATCTATCCTCCAGACCATACTGCCTCCCTCACTTCAAAAATACTCCGGTTTAAAAGCAGCGACGCACCATCAGAGAACACTGGTGCAGAAAGCGAACTGCTGAACAACAGCGGGAAAAGCAAATGGGGGAGGGGGGGGCATGCGTGGAGACTAGTGCAAATCAAGCGATCATGTAACGATGACTCAAAATGGGAGGCTAGTAGCGAAAAGGGCTTCAATGAACGGTGGTGCTGGTAGAATGCCCTCCAGTTTCAAACAGAAAATTCGCTGCAAGCCCTGCGCGCAGAGCGACCGCAACTCCGGCAACTTCCCCAAGATCTTGGAAAAGTAATGCGGTTTGTTGCGAGCTTCTGCGTTGTACACAACGTGATCCCGCAGTGAGTTGACGACTTTCATTTGAAGTTGCTCGACTCTACCAGGCTCACGCAACCCATGACGCTCTGCGAAGAATATCAACAGCTGGATGAAAGGAAGCTGTTTATTTTCTTCATTCCAACAACTGTCTCACCTGACAAAATCGTCAGTGCGCAAAGACAAGCGAACGCTGACAAATCCAGGTCCATGTTTTGAATACTTAACGATAACTCGGTGATGCCATTCATCCACTCCGCGAATGTGCTCTCGCATTGCTGCTTATTCAACACTTTCCCGTTGCAAAACGTAACTTGGTTGGACTCTTGGAGTCTGTTTCTAAGGGTGAAACGTAAATTGAAGATTGAAACTCTGATGCGAATCAGCATATTTGAGGTAAACAGATGTCGCACCTATTTGCCAAGCGTAGCACAAGCAGTTCCAGACTTGCGGATTGGAATAAAAGGTCCTGATCTTCTTTCGCAAGATCAGTGAAACCTGGAATTCTTTCAGCGAAGCCTCGCCCGGCTTCCACGGAGGACGTGATCAAGTTGAAGAACTGCTGAGTTCTGTCTGCCTCATTCATAGTTCCTTGTCCAGGCTCTTCGTACTGTGGAAAAGGATGAATTTTCTTCACATGTGTGGAATCGGAAGGAACAGCAATTTTTCTGAATTTTCGGTCGGCCGGAAGTACAGTATATTTATGGAAAAAGTTTCGAAATAGAAACAGCCTTCCTCTTAGCTGGATATCTTAGGCTTCTTTCCTTCATTTGTATGAACAGTATTTGTTAAATCTTTTGCTCGTATGACTACCAATAAGGCACGCGGTCTGCATACCAGAAGTAGCAGATTTTATTAATATAATTTTTATTTTCGGGATGCTGAAAAATTTTCATCTGCAGGATTTGGTCGCCTTAGAAAAACCATTCTGCATCCAAATTTCTGACCCTTCACTTCCACAAAAATTCACGGGTAGAATACATTTGTACTAAATACCATGATGGACAAAATCAAAGAATGCCAGCAGCTCTGATACAAACAGCGGTTGCTGAGGTTTTTTACTACAGTGGATGTCAACAAGACGTAATACAATTTTGCACATAATGTTTGCTCAATATGAATGTCAAAACATACAATTGGGGAACTGTAGAATGCGAGAATAGTTTTGGCACTGAGTATTCGAGACAAACTTTGTTGCTGAACAAGATACGATTCCGCTCGGAACATGCTAAGAGCGTTTGAAACTTGAAAACAGTTTCAATCATTTTCAGAACCTCTCGGTTGAAGAATTAATTTTTCGCATTGAAAATGTTTATGATTCACCAAGAGTTCGTTGAATAAGGTCACCGTGCTCACCTCTGAGTAATCCAGATTGGTAACGTCGGGGTTCGTATCTAAATGAGCTCGAACCAGAGCAGTTATAAGCGTAACTGGGGGAGAAGCTGGATTTTCCTGAGAAGTCTTTGGTTTTGAAGGAAGCCTCCCGCGTCTTCCTTTCAATGAATCCGTTCTCACGACCTCCTTGACCATCCCCACTGCGAGGCATTTCTGGAACCTGCAGAATTGGCACCTGTTGCGTCTTCGTTTGTCCACGGGGCAATTCTTGTCTCCCAAGCAAACGTATTTCGAGCCTTTCTGTACAGTTCTCTGAAAAAATAAACGTCATATTGTAGAAATCACAGCCTTCGCAGTTGTGGAAATTGAGATGAACTTGAACGCGTGCGTTCGTATTTTTATTCCTGGAAACTGATTTGACGCACATGGCCTAGTTCGTAAATTTCTTCTGTCCTGCTTTTACCTTGTTTGCATATATAATTCTAGTTGGATATACGCGGTATATGGAGATGGATGCACTGTATTCTTAAATAAGCGCGATAAGAGTACAGTATTTGTTTCATTTCCCGAGCACTACTCCTAATTTGGTCCAATTCGGCTAAACAGAGGAGAAGGGTTCAAAATATCGCATCCTCTCTGTACACGAAAATGAGGTTTATCTGCCACATTTATTGCATAGTTTGAGTTTATTGGCAGTCTAAAGGCAACAAAATATTTTCAACAATCGAAAAATATCCTCAGATGATCTTATTATGAGCCTTCTTTTGACAAAAAAGTGTTCATAGAATTTTTATTAAGGATCTTGGATATTGTGCGCCAACAGAAATCCACAAAAAATGTATCGGAGGCTTGATTGACGCCTTTCATCAAGCCAACGTCATTCGTTATGCTGATTCTGACTCGTATCCAGCGAGGCCACACGAATAACTTATTTTTTCAGCGTGTACAGTATTGACAAAAATACTGAACCATTATCCCACCTGATACACTTATTCCGCCTTAAAATATTCTTCAATTTTCTTCTACGTTATATTTTATTGACTAAAAAGCGTGTTTTACCTTGAAAAAACCTTTGCATCCTTCGCATGTCCTGACTCCGTAGTGCTGACAGGCAGCACTATCTCCACAAACAGCGCAAAGTTGACTTGGAGACAATGGAGCCTTGGTGGGGCTTCCACTAACCCTGGGTCCCATGCCGATTTCTGACGAAGCGAAAGTCATCGGAGGAACACTACGGCACATTCCGTAGATCGGAGAAGATCTCGATGATGATGGAGACATGCTTGAGCATGGGCTTGGACTGCTTGGAAAAATGCTCATTCTGGAATGCAAGCAGTAATGTATTGATGCATGAAATTTAGGCGGAAATTTCAAATGGGGGAAGGTTTTTATAAACTTATGGTGCAAATATTTTTTTCCCGCATCGTTTTTCCCATAAGACTTTTTAATAAATGAACATTTCGTGCTGGTTGTAATTGTCGGTGAACAATCGCCAAGTAATTTGCCGTTTTTTTCCAGCATCGGTCAACTTGAAAAATATTCGGAATATCAAATGTCGAAAAAAGTTGACCAATTAGCAATAAAACCCACGGAAATCACGGCTTCTAATTGTACACAAAATTAACTAATCGACAATAATAACCGAGGGGATGCGCGTTTATCATTTATGGATTCGATCAATTTTTTTCAATCGATTTTGAATGTTCATTTGATTTTCATTATTGATCTCTGAAAAATGCACGATTTATATTTACGCCTTGCTGACGGAAGGCGGCGGATGCCTTTCGATTTCTTCTCAAAAGAGAACTTTGTTTTCGAATTTTCCAGGAGTGTGGTGTCTTGATATCATTGCGTAATTACCTGTTCTAAGTTCGTCATGTTTTTCCACACGAAAAGTCGGGTAAACTTGAATTACTTTAAAAATACATGAACAGTCCAAAAATGTCGTACAGCATTGTGCTTGAAATTGCATGAATGTACAGTTCTTCTAGAAATGGACTCTCCTCATTGAAGTTTGATATGTAGAGTTGATGGAGACGACGACAAAAATAACGTTACGGGTACGCTTTTCATAGACAAGCATGATGTGCAAGGAGATTCTCTCATCCTCAACTATGACCGGAGAGGGAATGCGGGAAATAAAATAAAAGCGTCGAGTAATATAGAAGGAGAAAGTCTTTCAAACACTCGCTAATTGATACGTTTATACTGGACGTCATTGGCTGACTTGAGAGATGTGTGTGAAATCTGAATCTTTCACTAACCCGGAGTCGACTGAAGTACTGTGGGTCATGGCAAGCTGTCGCTTCCTCATCGCAGTGGAGCGAGAATACGCCGGGAGTGGAACTGCCTCCTGCGGAGAAGCCTGCATCTGCTGTCCCGAGAACCGCAGATGATGCATGGTCGAGTATCCGGACGTTGATGGCAGGCTCATCTGCTCCACGCCGTGTTCGAGCTTGGGGTCTTGATGCATGATCCTTGCAGGAGCGTGCGAGGTCGTCGGTTGGAACTGAGACTGAAACGTCTTCGGTCCAGTGAAACCGACGAGCTGCGAATGCCCGCCATCCTGGGTCGACGTAGATGCTTGGAACGGGTCGCAAGAGAATTGCAATCCGGGGTCAAACTGCTGGAAGTCCTGCACAGGTTGGGCGGCTGCAGCGAACGCGGAATTTTCCGTTCCGTACGACGAAGAGTCTTGCAGCGACATTGCACACGCGGCGGAGAAGGCGTCATTCGGCTCCTGCTTGAATCCCTGGAACTGTTCCGATTGACACAGTTCGTTTCCCCGCAGAAACTCTTGTTGTTGCTGCTGTTGTGGAATGGTCGCTGCCAAGTAGTCAGTCTGGTACATTTGTTGGAAGCTCGGCAGCGAGGCTTCTCTAGCGGTTTGCTGCTCGGGCTCCATTCCGAACCCGGTGTCCATGTTCGAATATGTCGTGCTCATGGTGCAACTCGTCATCGTCAAGTCTGCGCTGCTCTGCTGCGGTTTCATATCTCCCATGGCGGAGAATTCGCCGAGCAGGCACTCCAAATAGTTCAAGTCGCTGATGGTGTCGTTTTGGTTCACGTCGACGTTGTCCCAGCAATTGAATGCTGATTCTGCCTCTTGTGGACTAGTTGTGCAGCTGTAGAACTGATCAAACTCGCTAAAGGCGTTTCCACCGATTGCTCCGCTACTCCCGTTACGATATGCGTTCGTGCTTGAACCGAGTCGACTGCACCCACTCAGGCCTAATTTTGTTGTCAATATATCTCCAAGCCCGGGATGCGCCGTCTGTCAATGTTGAATGCATTCGAAATCAATACACGCAAACGTCGCTCGCAACCTGATCGTTGATCCTTAAGGTTCATTTTCAACGGATCCGTCTCTAATATAGAAAATGATATTCAGGTAGCCCAGCCGAAAAATGAAAACGTTCCTCACTCCAATCGAAAAAAATGTCATGAAGTTTGCTATCATTCGATAGTTTGTAATACCGAATTTACGAGAACATATTCTGCAAATATGCAGCCAAAAACGCGGTGTACCTTTTATAGATAGATTATTAAGCTCCACTCGATCCCAATAGGCAGTGCTACAGTTTCGTCGATGTGGCCTGTCAAAAATTCATAATTATAAGCCGTAAAAACCAATATTCTCAAATTAACATTCGCAAGTTTACACACGTTTGCCTCCAAATTTCCTGATTTTCCATCCTGTACATGACGGCCTTTTTTCCTCAAAACACTGCCCAAAATCAGGGTGCGGCGAATAATGTTACATTTGATTCTCAGGATATTTATCGAAAATATTTCGGATAACGCCATTAGACGTGTTTTCCTTGAGTTTAAGTCATATGAAAATAGAATGACTTCCGAACGATCCTTATTATGAGTAATTGGGCATCTGAGTAAGTACGGGGAAATTTTGCCCCAACGATCTCAACTAATTTTGTAAAGGTATGTACAAAAAAGTTGCCGTTAGAAGTCTTATAAATTGTAAGGTTGGTCGGTACCCACCTGAGAAGACAGTACTACCATGTTGGATGGTAGAAGTCGATTTTGCCGCTGGCGGACCCTGCGGAATCCGAAGGCCTTGCGCACCTGGAAAATCCAACCTAGAAAATGTAAAAAGGAACAACAAAATGAAAGTGCATCAATTGTATCCTCGAGTTCCCAAATTGTGTTGCAGAAATGAGGGTTTGCAGCGGTGCGCATCGGAGACTAATTGCTTCCCTGGGATTATTATTTTTTTTTTCGTCGGCGGCCTTCGGGAATTCATCCCCATTTCTGGATGAAATTGCGTCATTCGCGTGGGTTCATGAAATGTGCGAATTTCGCAGCTTCATCGGGATAACAATTGTTGGCCACGTGGGATGAGGTCCGTTATTAGCGAGCTCATCAGAGAGAAGAAAAACTGCACGAGCAATTCAATTTTCCAGTGATGATTGTTTACAAGAGCATCGAAATTGAAGATTGGAGCATTTGTGAAATTTATAAATATAATCGGATGGTTTTAATAGATTGCATGTTTTATATTTCAGGGCTTGAAAATTTCGAAGCACCCGGACAAGTTTTAAAGAAAATGTTGCCATAACAAGTATAGGATGAATTAAGAAAGCAAATGCGTTCAGTCGCACGGTTCAGCTGTAAACATGGTTATCCATGAGATCCCTGTATTCATATTATCCAATCAATAACATCAGGGGATGCCAATAATATTCATTTTCTGGCTGGATGAGAAGCATCGAAATGTTGCGTCAGATTGCGTGGACCCAGCGGTGAGCTGTCCTGTCTGCACGAAAGCTCCGAATCATATTCAACAATAAGAAGTGTTTATTTTATGCATAGACGTATAGGTTCCAAATATTTGACTATCAACTATGATCTACTCGTTTTTGCAAACAGATTATCTGCCTATAGAACCACAATCTGCAGTTGTTGTTGAAGCAGGAAATTGAAGCAAAACTTTCTTATGATGTGTTCTGAGAAAAAATATCACTGGAAAAACTAAGATGACATCGCGAACCAGATATGCAGTATTATGGGTAGTATTCCATCAGTCAGTGTGGCTCATGCGCGGAATCCGCGTTTCTGAGCGCAGTTTTATGCGGCCTATAATCGAGTAAAATCATCATGTCTCTACAATACTCTACAGCCTCCGAAAGAATAGGTTAAACTTTTGAAAAATTACGCATGAAATTCCGAATGAAAATGCATTCTCTGGAAGAAAATCGAATCCGTGAATCAGCAAATTTTTTCACTCGTCACCGGGCCGAATCCAGGTGCGTATCGCACGACCACGGATTCCGTCCCGGGATTGAATGGCGATTTCAGAAAAGAAACAAGGAGTCGGACGCCCCTTTCCATATGAGAACGCGACGCATTCAGTCTCGGTCCCCGAGGGAAGCGACCTCCAAAGACAAGGAGATTTTCGCCCTTTTTTCACTTCAATTGTCTACAAGACAGCGTCAAGTAAATATGCTTCCCGGGTTACGAGGTAAAGCGGCAACACGCAGAAGGCGAGCAGGTAAAATCGCCGAAACTCCGTGACTATTCCACGCGATTTCCGGTGAAAATCACGCAAGTCTGAACGATGAATTCCCATGACCTACTAACGAAAGAGTTTAGAAAATAAAAGCCGAGTATCTCGGTATGGAATGCGACTTGCATGAAGCCGAGTGTTTTACGCACTTCGCCTCCAGCACTTCGTCGTTCTGTCCACGATCGGCATGCGACCGGCGGCAGAGAAAATCATGAAGGTCGAGTACGAAACTGACCGCTTGGATTTGTTGCAATTTCTTTCCCCCACTCCCCATTTTCCAGTAACAATCCCCGTGTTTGGTCAGCAAACTTTGCCGGAATCATACCTGAGCAGCGAATTTCCTCGGTGTCCTTTCCCAATGATCATATTCGAGGACCCGTGTTTGCCAGGCTGACAGACCATTTTCAAAGGCCCATATGGCCTTGTTCTTCCCGCCGTATTCCCGAATCACAGTCAGCCTCGTAGATCGACGGCATTACGCACTTGTTCTCAATGCCAAGCTAACAAGTCGCAGCCCATTTCATGCCGTAAAAAACACAGCTTCCGCCTTATTGCTTCGCACTTAGATATGCTGCAAGCTGGTCTACGTGTCATATAACTCGGGATCCGTGACCAGACCGAATTGTCTCATTCTGCTAGTCAAACAAAAGGACTTCAAACCGCTATTAAGGTTTTTTCTGACCAAAATCCCTGCGTTCTCGAAACGAGTTATCCAGCTTACGTTGTGGTGCGCGCAGAATGAACTGATACACATTGACTCTGAATTGCTACTACAGTTTTATAATTTAGGATCACAAAAATCCAAACTCGATGCATCTTGTTCTTCTTCCAGCTTGCTGTTCTTTCCTTTCGCTATTTATTCCACCTCATTACAAAGGATCATTTTGTAATTTATAGAAAGCTGTTATGCCGTATTTACGTGAGCGCTGCTACATAAGCCTCACGCTAATTTTGATTAGTGATATAAGATAAAACATGTAGGATAAACTACGGAAAAATATAGCTTTTGAACGAAACATGCCAATTTCCTGCCGTTAAATTAATAAGTAGAGAACGCAAGCTATGTTTTATCATCTTCTGCTGAATTATCGATTGCACTTGGAATAACTGTGACTTCGGAACTCATCGCCAAAAATTCAATAGTCTCCTCAAAATGTTTTTAGCGAATGCTCTGCGCTGAATTCTGCCTGCAGGTACGGCTTCTTAAGTCACTTAGAGGAAAGCAGTGCCATTAAAGAAAAATAAATAAATATTGAATTTATCGACGATTTCACATGAAAATAAATGTACGCACTGAGTAAGCTCGTATCACTCACAGAGAATACAAGACTAATCCGGTATGTTCGTAAGTCAAGTTATATGGACGCAAACACAATTTGTCATCGTTGAAAACTAATCCAAAGAATTACGGGTTTCTGAGAGTGGAAAAGATTGAGAATGTTCGGCCAACATCATTACAAATTATTGTAGTTCCTAGCTATATGAATATGCACATGGCTCGTAGGCCACGAATAGATGAGATTTGAATTTATTTTATTATAAGTTAATATAACTCACGTAATGTATTATCCCAAAACTACATGAACGAAAGCCATACCCGAGTGTTTCAGAGCATTAGAGGAGGGGAGGGGAAGTGTGCGGCCTATTTCATGGAAATTGTACTGGATATTGCATTACTTCGTTTTCTGGACATTTGCAAGTAAAACCCTTGCGGAGAGAGATACGATAGAACAGTCGATGAGCAACAAATGCAAGATCCTCTTTGTCAGAGGCGAACTTTGCGAAAGAATCTGCGTCGGGTGGGGAAAGACAGACGGCCGTGCCAGCCCAGCATCGTGAGAGAACCCAGGTGAGTTCTGGGCCCCGGGTAGCAATCGATTCAGGTGTGTGACGTTGGGCTCGTTCCCCAAAAGAACCGTCGGATTCTGATACGGATTCCCCCGCCGCCTCCGCTTTCACTCGCACGCGAGAGAGCCCCGTCCCGGGCCCGGAATGAAATTTTAAAGTTTGACGTCACAGCCGTGACGTCATTGCTGCGACGTCACGGTGGAAACACTTCTCCGAATCCGCGGCAAGACGGCATGGGTCATTTCTTTCCGCGATGCCTATAAAGTATGGGCGAAGGCTGTTTCCGGATCGATTCTCCGGTCGTGCGGTGCCTGCCATTATATATCCGCGGGGCGGCGGCGGGAATCAATGTCAGGATCGATGGGTTCCTCAGCGACTTCTTGTCATTACTGCCGCTGCGGGATTTCATCGCGTACCGTGCGCCCGTTCAAAGTGAAGGTTGCCGTCGGGCCATTTCAGGAACGTCACAATAAGACGCGGGTAATTACGCGTAATCGGTTGCGCGATGTTATCGGTACCCAGAAGTCGAGCCGATGAATCTCCCCGGGCAATTTTTCCCACAGGACTCCTGGAACGCGTTTCCGATACTGTATAGTAATTCAGGGAACTGAATACGGCAATCACTGCAGTCTATTTCTGTAGATGCATCGATGAGGCCAGTATTGGGCGGAATGAGACCAGGTTTGTTCATCTTCGGTTGTGTATCATAGCACTGCACACACGTTTGCCCAAATTTTTATTCTGGTAAATTATGTAAACCGCTACGAAATTCTATTCCGTTGAGGAGGAAACAGAGTAGTGTCTCCTCATTTTCAATGCGAGACTCATTATTTGCTTCTGCTCAACATTAAATTTGAACACATATTTATCTCAAATCGAAAACACTTAAGTAAGGAAGACATCTCGTTGACTCGTCAAATTTCAATTATTGAAGGAGGGTTTCCGTAATGACTGATTATTCCAGCATAAACGCTTTGTCATTAGCCTTGGCACTCGGACTTCAGAGTTAACTTACTATTAAATGCCCCCAACAGATAATTTTCTAAGTCTGGTGGTAAAATCGTAACATTGCAGGTTCAATTAAGACCTGTCTCACTGGAATTATAATGTATGTTAAATATATCCAAGAGAGAATTATCGTAGCACTGCGTTGACGAACGATGACTGTGAAAAATTTGAGTTTGACTCGAGTGATGATGCTTTGAACAATTTTGATAATGTTGTGTCTCTGAGAATTTATCCAAAATGCAGAAGGGGAGCGTTTGATTAGAGAGACCGATTTTTCGAAGTCTTTCGAATGAAATGAGTCGATGGCTTTTCTTTCCATCTTGAATCGGGAAAATGGGGACCGGCATGCGTGGAATTTCGCGAAAGAACAGGGAATTCTCTGGCGCGATAAACACGCAGTTCGGTTGTTCTGCAGAAATTGTTTGTTCTAGCTTTCTACGCGTTTCTGTATCAGGGGAAAAAGGGTACTTTTGAAAAACATTCGTTCCCCGATTGCCTTTCGCGCCGCTGGGGATATCGCCCACGTAAGAAGGAATTCACTGTTGGTTTACTCCGCTGCTCAATCGAAGACTCTGTACTAACTTCAGAAAAAAAGAATGTTAAATTCACTTCCTGACTGTTTTCTCCCGCCCATCGCTTCCCAACATCAAACATAGCCACATTCAGCTCTTCTATTGCCGAAGGGACTTCCCGCGAGAAGAAAAACCTTTAACCATTCCGCAGAACGATTGAAAAGAAACTTGAAGAAACCTCGGCGATTTTTTCGATTCATCCAGATTTCCAAGTCTCGATATCACAAGAAGACCTCAAGAACTTTTCTTTCGTACAATCCAGCCCAGGAGCGAGATGCGCTGAGATTCTGGAAACTCTTTGAAAAACAAATTCTACAGTATTGTAATTTATTCTCGCGATTTTCAACCACACCCCAAACTCGGGCTCGAATTCGAGGAGAAAGACTGTGCAAGCCCGCAGGGGCCCCATGATTTTTCATGACAAATTCACGTCCATAAACGGACGAAATCCATTAATTTACATTGTAAAACCGCACAGCATATGACAATCGGATAATACGATGCAGAATAAACTGTACATAAACTTCGGGGCCATTTTCAAAAATTTAACCGGGTGTGACTGCCGGGAAACCACACGTCTCGTTGAGTAAGCAGTCCGGTTAGATGAGACAGCGGTGTGCGGCAGATATAAAAGTACTGTATTGTATATACTCTTACGTTTCGAGCATAGGTCGCCACTGAGTTTTCCAGAGGAAACAATGTGGCCTATAATCACGACGTACAAACTGTGCAAGTACCTGTGCGTCACGCCGCAGTGTCTCGAAAATCCTGTAAGCGGTGGTTTTCTGTTTCGATACTGACAGAACGCTATTGCGCCGGAATAGCCTAGGATTTTTTCTTCGCTACCCCCAGCGAATTAGCAATATAGGGAAATCTTCACGGTACTCATGAACGCATAAATCAATGCACTCGGCTTCCTCAGTGCCAGTGGGCCTCTCAGAGCGGTCGCTTTACTCGATACGGCCACATCTTAACGCACTGTGAAAGGGCCACGATCAGCACGATTCGCTTTAGACCAAAGCCGACGAAGAAAAACACAACTTCGGGTGCGGTCGAGGAACAAAAACTCGCGGATCTTCGATTCAAGCACAAATCAGGCACCGTATGAGGACACTGGTGCACGGGGGCAAGGTCACGTTACAATTGTGCTAAAAGCCTCGAGAGGCAATTAAGCCTCTTTCAAGTGGTGCTCCGATTTTCCGCCAAGCCACCGTCGGTTCGACTCTCTGAATGCAGTTATAGAAGCACTGTTTTCATTCGCCGGCATCACGGTTAATCAGAAAAAAATCACCCTTTGAGAAGAAAAAAATTCAGACACATACTGAAGTTTGCTTTGACCGATCCGCCCTTCGTGGATTAATAAAAAAGTGAAACGGAATGTCCATTCAACTTTCCCA